TGTCAATATATTTATCGTTTTATGACGAGTAAAATTTTTTTTGTTGACTTTATGGCTTTTATGTAATGCATAAACCTTCGAAGCGCGAGGCCCCTCGGACAGCGAGTCCGTAGGCAGTGGCCCACGTCACCCATGCCTTACACTCCCTCTATGGCCATGCAGCTTAGAGGGAACATTGACAGTAATACAATATTTAGGAAAATCAGTGAAATAAAAAATTCAGCAACTTTTTGCAACTTTAAATATTGGAGCGCTTTTTGTGTAAGTACTTACCTGCAATGAAGTTTCTAAAAAAAGCCTTATTGCTGCAATGATCATGTTTGTGTACTGGTAAATAAATATATTGATTGTCTTTATTTTTTTGTATTCAGTATACTGTATTGAACAAAATGGTTATGCAGTCTGCACTTGTCATTCTCTCAGTAATCTGGCCCGCTGTGCTTGTGGTTTGGTGACCCCTGATTTATATCAATCAGATGATGATGCACTATAGTACAATGTGAATGAACAATGCAACAAGATGATACAATGCTGGTTTAACATTTCATAACCATTACTTAAGTTATTTATCCATTAACACTGGATTTAGCAAAAAATACACATTCTGTAGTAGGTTTGCAATGCTTTAGAACAATATTGTATAATGATCATATTATTATAATTCTAAATATTTACAATTTTTGAAATTAAGGAATTTGTCTTTTATTCTTAAAAGCCATGAATTTAAATTTTATTTCAATATAACTACAGTAGAATCTCATTTTAACGGATCATGGAATAATGGACTGTTTTTCCAGGTCCCACCAAAATCAATGTTTTTACCTCTTTTTATCAGATCCATAACTTGAAATAATGAATTTTTTTCTATCTCCAACTTTGGTAAAAATCATATTTTTTTCAACCTTTAATTAATAATTGGATGTTTCCAGATACTGAATTCAAAAAAATGCATTGTACGCTGTGCAAACTAAGTGCATAATCATCACAGTTCTCACTGCTAACATTGCAGCCATGCATTAGTGCTCTCCTGTAGCACAAGATTAGTGCAGGAAAACTACTTCTGAATTAACACTTCCAGATATGAACATGTCTATTTGATTTAATATCTCATAATGAGATAAAGATTAAGAAATGAAATTTGGCATTGGTAACTTATACATAAAGGATATTGATGTTACTAAATTTTGGAATATGGAACACAAGCGGGTGGAGATATAGAAGGGAATCGTATGTGTCAAATATCAATTGGGGGTCAGACTTAAAATTTTACTTGTTATTGGCATTTATAATATTTTTAAAATCTCATCTCTATCCTCAAAATTAAGCCTTTTTTCTCTTTTTATAATAATTAATAATATAGTTATTTTTTAACTCTTTAAGCTCTGAAAACCTTCTCCTACTATGTAGCTGAAGACTAAATTGTTTTTACCCCTCAGGCTACAAGGGAAACTTGTACAGCAAAACAAGTCAAACAACTTTTCTATTGGCTGATTTCATTTTGAATGAACAAGGCCAATTTTGGCCAATTTCATGATTAAAGAGTTAATAATATCTCTTAACAGATAGTGCCACACACAATTCTAACTTTTAGCTGATGTCATAGAGTTTTTTAAACTTGAATATTTTTTAAATAGAGATTTTTTATCATAATTCATCAAAATTATTCCTTTTAAACTTTTGTTATTATTTAAATTTTATGTCCTAGTATAACTGAAAATTATTGGACTTCGTAATGGTCCTCTTAACCTCTCCTGTTTGAGTGCTGGGAAAAGCTGAGTCTTTTGCTCAGCTTTTAAAATGCCAGTTTAAAATGCAAGAAATTTACTTCAAGGATTTATAAAATTAAATTTTATTGTGAAAAGAAATATATATTTTGTGATAGCAACTGATTATCATATTTATCAGTTTATATCAATTTCTATACTAGTAGTTCTGAACCTGCTTTTACTTGGAGTGCACATTTTGTACGCACATAAATTCGCGTGTGCGGCAACAATTTGAGCAGTGCACGGTCACGCAGCCATGCAGCTTAGAGGGAACATTGACAGTAATACAATATTTAGGAAAATCAGTGAAATAAAAAATTCAGCAACTTTTTGCAACTTTAAATATTGGAGCGCTTTTTGTGTAAGTACTTACCTGCAATGAAGTTTCTAAAAAAAGCCTTATTGCTGCAATGATCATGTTTGTGTACTGGTAAATAAATATATTGATTGTCTTTATTTTTTTGTATTCAGTATACTGTATTGAACAAAATGGTTATGCAGTCTGCACTTGTCATTCTCTCAGTAATCTGGCCCGCTGTGCTTGTGGTTTGGTGACCCCTGATTTATATCAATCAGATGATGATGCACTATAGTACAATGTGAATGAACAATGCAACAAGATGATACAATGCTGGTTTAACATTTCATAACCATTACTTAAGTTATTTATCCATTAACACTGGATTTAGCAAAAAATACACATTCTGTAGTAGGTTTGCAATGCTTTAGAACAATATTGTATAATGATCATATTATTATAATTCTAAATATTTACAATTTTTGAAATTAAGGAATTTGTCTTTTATTCTTAAAAGCCATGAATTTAAATTTTATTTCAATATAACTACAGTAGAATCTCATTTTAACGGATCATGGAATAATGGACTGTTTTTCCAGGTCCCACCAAAATCAATGTTTTTACCTCTTTTTATCAGATCCATAACTTGAAATAATGAATTTTTTTCTATCTCCAACTTTGGTAAAAATCATATTTTTTTCAACCTTTAATTAATAATTGGATGTTTCCAGATACTGAATTCAAAAAAATGCATTGTACGCTGTGCAAACTAAGTGCATAATCATCACAGTTCTCACTGCTAACATTGCAGCCATGCATTAGTGCTCTCCTGTAGCACAAGATTAGTGCAGGAAAACTACTTCTGAATTAACACTTCCAGATATGAACATGTCTATTTGATTTAATATCTCATAATGAGATAAAGATTAAGAAATGAAATTTGGCATTGGTAACTTATACATAAAGGATATTGATGTTACTAAATTTTGGAATATGGAACACAAGCGGGTGGAGATATAGAAGGGAATCGTATGTGTCAAATATCAATTGGGGGTCAGACTTAAAATTTTACTTGTTATTGGCATTTATAATATTTTTAAAATCTCATCTCTATCCTCAAAATTAAGCCTTTTTTCTCTTTTTATAATAATTAATAATATAGTTATTTTTTAACTCTTTAAGCTCTGAAAACCTTCTCCTACTATGTAGCTGAAGACTAAATTGTTTTTACCCCTCAGGCTACAAGGGAAACTTGTACAGCAAAACAAGTCAAACAACTTTTCTATTGGCTGATTTCATTTTGAATGAACAAGGCCAATTTTGGCCAATTTCATGATTAAAGAGTTAATAATATCTCTTAACAGATAGTGCCACACACAATTCTAACTTTTAGCTGATGTCATAGAGTTTTTTAAACTTGAATATTTTTTAAATAGAGATTTTTTATCATAATTCATCAAAATTATTCCTTTTAAACTTTTGTTATTATTTAAATTTTATGTCCTAGTATAACTGAAAATTATTGGACTTCGTAATGGTCCTCTTAACCTCTCCTGTTTGAGTGCTGGGAAAAGCTGAGTCTTTTGCTCAGCTTTTAAAATGCCAGTTTAAAATGCAAGAAATTTACTTCAAGGATTTATAAAATTAAATTTTATTGTGAAAAGAAATATATATTTTGTGATAGCAACTGATTATCATATTTATCAGTTTATATCAATTTCTATACTAGTAGTTCTGAACCTGCTTTTACTTGGAGTGCACATTTTGTACAAGATGTGTACAAAACTAAAAATATATTAATATATTTTAAATTATAAATAAACTGTGTACTATAATAACTGCTACCTTATACTGTACAGTAGACCCCCCTATAAGATCATAGATACGTTCCATTCTTTAGGAATCCGATTTCTTACGAGTCCTTCCAATCACAGCCCGACACGTGAGAAGTTTACGGACTACGGCTGATTGAAAGGTTTTCTTCCATAAAATTAATCGATTCTAGACTAATCTGACTCAACATTTCCAAAATACGTATATTTTTNTCATTTATGCTACCTTCTGATAACTACAATTAACCAAAGATGGTATATCTGTACAAGTGAAGTATATATTATTTACAAGGTATATGAAGGTATACTATACAAAATACAAACATATGGATTAATTTAATTTAGGCCTACTTCTTTAGATGTTTCTACAAATTTGGAAGTTTGTATAAATGAGCAAAAGCTATTGTATCCCAAAAGCTATTTGTACCCATACAAAAATAACCTTAATACAACACCAGCAAAGATTTTAATTCAACATAGACAAATGTTTTCCATCTAGTGATAGGTCTGCTTCAGGCCTATAGGCCTATCACTTTATATTCTATTTTGGAATGTAAAGGAAAATATCAAAACCATATCTTTTATATTTTCCAGCTTGGGTTATTTAAGATAAACAAATGTTTTTGGTTTATTCATAAATCTGCTTCAGCTTTAGCATTAGCATTTAAAAAAAATGCATCATTCTGAAATTCCAGAGATGAATGTTAAATGCATTTTATGACATTGATGTTTCAATTTAAAATATTCAAATATTTAAATTAAACTTTGTATTTTAAAATATACTTATTTTTAAGGATTGAATATGTTAACAAGCAGCATTATGTTAAATTTACACCAGAACAAATCACAATTGCTTGAGCACATTTTATGGAGTGACAAGGAATCTTTTCCTGAAATGATGTGTAAATGCCATAATGCATACATTGTAGCATTCTGTTCCATGTATGCAAAATAAACAACACTAGGTACATTTAGCACATCTAGCCATCTCTTTGTCACACCAGTTGAGAATCATTGTTCTTTACATTAAAAATTATTTTTACATTAATATTGTGAATGAAATATTTATAAAATTTAAACAGACATATATTCTCTCATTGTTACCTTCGCTGGTGAAAGTGATTCTTCCACTTTCGCTTTGACACTAGTGTTAACATCTTCAATTTTTTCTTCCGGTTTTACCAAATCATCATCAAATTCAGTTTCCTCTTGATCAGATCGAGAATAAGCACGATGACGATGGTGATGTAACCTTCTTAAAGGCTGATGATGATGAAAACTTTCCATTCTATGTACTATTATTATATAATATATTAATAAATATTTGTATAGCATTAAAATTTAGTAAATAATTTAATATTTTTCTTATTAATAAATATTAATTTAAATTGTTTCAAACAATTTTATAAAAGATTATAATTTTAAAAAGTAAACAATTAATTTTAAAATATAATTATATAAAGTTAACATTATAATCTAATTCTGAAAATAAGTTAATTTTATATATTTTAATCAATAAATGTAATATTTTCATGAAATTATATAAGCTTTATATTCCTTAACTATTTATCTTCAATTAACTATTCATCTAATAAAATTGTAATTGTAAATCGTGTATTGTAATTTTGAGTTGTTTTTCATTTCAAACTTGTATGTTAAATAATAAATTTTTCTTATTTCAGACTTAAAGTAAGAAAGCTCCAATTCTTTTCCAAATACAAAATACAGACTTGAGATATGTGAATAAATGTAAGTCAAATATAATACAAGTAAATATAATAGATATAAAAATTATGTTTTGCAAAATATCTCTTATATTTAACAATATCAATTATTTAATTTGTAGATTTACTAAACTTCAAATTAAATTCAAAGTTTATAAAAAATTAAAAAAAATCTTGAGTTTTTAATAAATTCTAAATTTTACAACTAGTTGAAAATTAGACCTATTTAATTCATAGATTATTTAATTTAACTCTTTAAAGATTAATTAAGTTGATCAAAAGAACTCAAATAAGCACATACAGTAAACTCCAATTATCAGGATGCTGATTAGCCAGATCACTAGTTATCCAGATTGCCATCTGACTTTATTAAAAATAAATAGGCATATATCTGTATGAACTGTAAATGCATGAAAAGTATTTTTTCTAAATGTAGAATATACATTTAGAAAAAATAGTTTTACATTTACTATATTCTATCATTTCCAATCATTATGTACACACATACATAATGAGGTATATGGATAGGGGGAAAAAATGCCTATTTTAAGTAAAAATTCAATTATTTGGATGGTCCAAAGTCCCAATTATTTCAGATAATTGGAGTTTTACTGTATAATGAGTAAATTCCAACTTTTATAATAAAACTAAAAACTCTTGTTTTTTCTCTTTCTGACAGGCTTGATTCCCAAAAATCCTAAATAAACAATACTCAATTTAAATTTGTAAGCAACAATATAACAGAGTTTGGATTATGAATTTTATGATCTATAAAAATAGCAGATATCTTCTTGCATTTGTATTAAGTTTGTTAAAAGTAATTCAAACAGTAGTTAATTTATTCATAAGGTACTCTAGAGAAAATTTTGCATCATTAGTTGTTTTGCCTTGAATAATAATTAAAATATTAGTGATATTAAAAAAAGTAAACAAAATTAGTAATTATACATTCATTACAAATTTTTTTATTTATTAAACATTCCTAGAAATTTGGTTCAATTTTAGTCTGTTTCAAAATTTCTTAACTGTGCTAACTAAAACAATAGTACAACTTAAACTTGAATTAGCTTCAGAATCAACTTCATTGCTAAATTGAAAAAAATCCTTTGATATAGGATACACAAATCTTTAAAATCATGTAAAAGAAAGTTTGTTAATTGAAAATATATATTCTTATTTGTTTTTATGAATATGAGAATCAATAGAGTTTTAAAATTTAAAATAATGTTCATTTAAATTCAATTTAATTTATCATTCCAAACATAATAGATGATGAAGATTAAGATGCTGAGTCAATTCAAAAACATTTATTAATAAAAATAATTAAATCCTTTACATATCATTTTTATAGATTTAAATTTCTAAAGTCAAACTAGCTACTGTGGTTAATTTAATAAAGTAAGCAATATATCTTTAACAATAGGTAAGGTTGAAAAAATTGTTGTATTCAATAGACTAATGAGTTTCAAAGCTGTTGAATATTTTCTGCTGAATATCCTCTGCAAAAGCACTACTTCAGAACATATTGAGTATATTGACAACATATTTAGTAGCAGACTTTCATTTATGCTACCTTCTGATAACTACAATTAACCAAAGATGGTATATCTGTACAAGTGAAGTATATATTATTTACAAGGTATATGAAGGTATACTATACAAAATACAAACATATGGATTAATTTAATTTAGGCCTACTTCTTTAGATGTTTCTACAAATTTGGAAGTTTGTATAAATGAGCAAAAGCTATTGTATCCCAAAAGCTATTTGTACCCATACAAAAATAACCTTAATACAACACCAGCAAAGATTTTAATTCAACATAGACAAATGTTTTCCATCTAGTGATAGGTCTGCTTCAGGCCTATAGGCCTATCACTTTATATTCTATTTTGGAATGTAAAGGAAAATATCAAAACCATATCTTTTATATTTTCCAGCTTGGGTTATTTAAGATAAACAAATGTTTTTGGTTTATTCATAAATCTGCTTCAGCTTTAGCATTAGCATTTAAAAAAAATGCATCATTCTGAAATTCCAGAGATGAATGTTAAATGCATTTTATGACATTGATGTTTCAATTTAAAATATTCAAATATTTAAATTAAACTTTGTATTTTAAAATATACTTATTTTTAAGGATTGAATATGTTAACAAGCAGCATTATGTTAAATTTACACCAGAACAAATCACAATTGCTTGAGCACATTTTATGGAGTGACAAGGAATCTTTTCCTGAAATGATGTGTAAATGCCATAATGCATACATTGTAGCATTCTGTTCCATGTATGCAAAATAAACAACACTAGGTACATTTACACTAAATGTCTAGTGTGGTATTTGGTCCTTTATTCATCAAAGTAATCTTGAGTAATGACTGCTATCTTAATATTCTATACATGATGGTACACAAATGGCGTGATGACTTGCTTTTAGAGCGATTGTGGCAGATTTGGTGTCAGGAGGATGTATTAGCTCATTCTAAGCAGACATGTATCCGTGGCTCACAGACTGGTTTGACAGCCAATGGATAGGACAATGTAGTTCTGTTCTAATATGTTCCTTGGACTTAGATTTTACTGGATTTTTCCTGTATAGAAATCTAAAAGTATCAACACATACTCATCAGTGCTGCATGATATTGGCAAACGGAAGAGGAAAATATGAGAGACTTGTTAGATGATGACATAAGTATGCTACATGCAACCTATAACACCACTCTCAAACATCTACACTTTTGTATCACAGTTGATGACAGTAGTTTTGAACATGTACTACAGAAAAGTAAAGTTAACTGCTTTTGTATTAATTTATGCAACGTTGGCTTTCATTCTTTAAAATCAGATTTTCTTTGTAAACTATGTTAAATCTTCTTGCTTCTTTAACATTATTTTTATGCTTGGGAAAGAAAGGAAAATTTATGTATTGTCTTGAAAGTATCTTGCAATTTACACATGTTCTTTTTTCAATGAATTTATTTTACTTTAAATGTTGCATTGGAACTCTTGCACTTGGATAAATGTTAAAGTGAATACCCTGTATATCTGCTAGCAATGATCTTAAGTTTCACTAATAAATTAATAATTTAGATGATTTAAATGTCTTGTGAAAATTTAATGTGTATATCAAAAACAATAGATTAATTTTTTTACAATTAAAATTGATGAGGTTTTATATAAATTGAGGACATGGTATTTTGTAATTACTTTTTGTAAAACAAGATTTGAATACATTTAAGTTCAACAAATAAATTAAAAATATAAAAATTTTTATAAAGTTTAATACTTACACTGATAATCATTTTCATCATATCGATGCTTTCTCTCAACATTCTCTTTACCATCATGAAAATCTGCAAGAGAAAAACGTGTACTTGGAGGATGATATATTTCTTCCATTGCCTGCTCTAATTCTGGATTTCTCCATGGAGATGATTGTGGTTCTTCTGTATTCATCTGTAAATAGAATGATTATGAAATTATTATTGTTATTAAGCATTGAAATTTTAATATTTAAAATTATTAAAAATTTTGCTGAAAATAACAATGAATTAAAAATAAAACTATAGCTATATTTATTCTAGAACTTTTTAAATGCATCATAGTTTTGAATACAAGAGAAAAATTATTTTAACAAATAAAAATGTATAGTTTAAAGTTTTATTATATAAAAAATTTTCTGTAAATACTTTTATCAATTTAATATAATTTTTTGAAATAACTGTGATATACAGGTTGAGGCAGAAATTAATTGAAAGATGAAATAAGATAAAAATCTAAAAAAATAAATAAAAGAGTGTAACTAGGAGCAAAATCAATTAGAAATTGGTTAATGTATAGCTAGATATGTTATCCCAATGTTTCCAATGGATGTTCAGCATTAATTATTGTCAAATGACTCTTGTCTCACCTTATATATAAATATTGCATGAAAGTTAAATGATGAATTAACTAAAATCTAAAACTACTACTGATATCAACATAAATTAATTTTTATATTTTGTTAATAATTCAATACAGAATCAGAACAAATGTTATATGTAAATTGTAATTAATATCAATAAATTTATATATATCTAAAGTTAACTCATATAATAAGTTTTATAAATAAGTTCAAGTATGTTTATATATAATAAATTTAGTTATACTTTAATAGCATATTTGTTTGAGCTTACAGCTGACTTTATAATATTTCTAAATTAAATCTTCTGTAAACATTTTGAAAGTGATATTATTTTCCTAGAGATTTAATTTTAATTTTCTTTGTTTAACATTAAATCAATGGATCTATATTTATAATAATATTGTGAATAATATATGTATTTTAGATACAAAGATTTTATCAAAATTGCTAATCAGCTGTTTGAAACACTGACAACAGTACTTCTTTTATAAATAAATATTGAAACTTAAAGTTTATCAGACAAAATTCAAAGGAGACATTAATAAATATAATTTAATATAATCTGTTAGTTTAAAGAGAATTTACTGCATTAGATTTCTAAATATGTTTTAAATCAAGTTTGAAGGAAAAAGTCCAAAATTTATTACTGTGTTATTTGTTACTGTTTTGTTTAAGCTTATTTACTATGCAGTTGACCAAGAAAAAAAACCTTGTCAATATAATTCATAAAGTATATACTTTGGTATTTGGTATTGTGGTACTTAGAAATGCTATTTATGTGTTCTATGACAAAAAGAAAATAATCCAAAACTATGTTTCTTAGTTTAGGCACTTATAAAAGTTTATAGCTGTTGAGAATTTTCGAAACATTCTATGTTTTTGAATTGGATTTCATTCATTTGTTCTAAGGAATGTACCTGAGAATGACCTTTAAATGTAATCAAAAACATTAGTTACATTAAATTTAATACAACTGGAATATCAAGATTGTGTTGCTCACTCAAACTGTTTTTCAGTTTGAGTTAGTTGCTTCATTTAAAACAGCAAATTCCAGTTTGATATCTGATATTTTTTTAATAAAAACTATTTTTGTAAATATTAATTTTTCTTTAAAATCACAAAATTTCAATTTATTATTTACTAATTGTATCATCATATTTTATAATAAAAATAAAAATTTGAAATTTTTAATTACATTGAAAAACTAATGTAACTACAAAAAATTTTAATCTAAACTAAAATTTAAAGATTTTAAATTAAAAATTGATTGGTAAATTGTAACTAAATAAATCAGAAACATTAAAAGATAAGCATTTCTGCATTTGTATTGTGTTATTTATATTTTATGCTGTTCTTAGTGAATTAAATCTAATACTGGATTTAATATTCTAAAAAGATATTAAATATAAACCAAAATAATGAATAAAAAATTATTCTCATAAAAATATGAGAATAATTCTGTGTCTGGTCCATGCACAGAATTTTTAACAGGGTGGAGTTTTAAAATAAAATTATTTTTTCATAACATAGTTTATATACCTGTATTGTAAAAATTAATAAAGTAACACTATAAAGTAGACTAATGAGGAAGTGAACAAACACAAAATAAACATGTTATATACAATATACTGTTTAATTTTATTTAATTTTTTAATTCTTTACAAATGGGAAGTGATAAATCCACAAAAGCTACTGCACATATGAGGAGTTATATGTTATCCTCATAGTACTATGAGAATAAGAGATTATTAGATACATAAATGTATTGGTGTACAATATTACATTATACAAGTGAAAAACAATAGGTTAAAGACTGTTTTGCATCTATATCATTATTATTATTATTAATATATTAGTATTAACTATAAATATTTGCATATTTTAGTTTAATTTATAATGTAAAATTTTAACAGTAGACCATAACTTTCTGCATGGAAGGGATTAGATTAATATATAGAGATAAGAATATGAAAATGAAAAATAAGGACTGCCCTTTGAAGTGAAGGAAGTATAGCAACTATCTGTGCATAATAAAAAGGAAATGAAGTTTAACAAATTAAGAAATCTTATTTATTCAAATTAACAAAATAAACTTTAACTTTTTTAATTTGTTAAAGTTTATTTTTCTTCAGTTGTTTAAATATTGTGAAGTTGAAACATGTCTAAATTTTCAAACTATTTACTGCATTTTAGACTATTATATATTTATGTTAACTGCGTTAATAACTATTATTATAATTATTTTAATAACTGACATATATAATTTAAAAATTTATTACATTAATTGTTGTTGAGTTTTCCTTAGATTAAAAAAATCATTTATTTTAAATGACAGTTAACATAAGCAAATCATTGTTTAATGTGTTTAAAATATATATAGTATATATAAAGGATAAATGTATATTAAGTTTTTTATTATTTATTTATGTCCTTCTTACACAAGTTCAGAAGAAACATTAAAGTAAAAGTGTCTTTGCAGTTTTTACTCTAATTTATTGTTTCTTCTGAACTTGTAAACTTTTAATTAATCAAATGTATTTTATATTAAGTATAATTGAAAAACTTAAATGACGTTTAAATTAATTGTACTATATATTAATGGTGTATATTAATTATATAATTGATGATTTATTATTATAGGTTTAGTGTAAATTTGTTAATATAAGTTTTATAGATAATAATTTCTAATAAAATTTATTTATATTTTAATATTTATAATTACATATAGTTCATTACACTATACATTACTATATTATAGTTAATTATCAACATTATATATCATTGGCATTAATCAACTTTATATTGCAATATTATTGCAAAGTTTTCGATATTTTGCAAAAAATTCAACACATATTTATATTTTAAAACTAACAATAGTGCTAAACATTATTTCCTTTTGACGATAATTACATTTATAAAAGGAAAAAAAAAAGTACGAAGTTTTAACACGTCCATAAATATAACGAAAACAACTTTTCACATTAAAATGCAGTTTTATTATTAATTCTTTTTATTTATTTAGTTTTATTTGTTTTTTGTCTCTAAGAATAAAGTATACTTGAAAAATTACATTTTTAATGCTAAAGTTTAGAAGTTTTCGAAAGAAGGAATTAATTCTTTTTTCTCTTATTTCTAAACTTTTCAAACTGACAAAATTGGTTTTAAAAAAAAATGTTTTTCCAGATTAAATCGACTGTAACATCGAATTAAATTTCTTTGCCTTCATGATTTTGAAAATAATTAAAATCCAAGAGGTTTTGCAGAAATCTAAACGTGTGAATTATTTCACACTAAATCGTAAGCTACAGTAATTATATTTAAACACTAATTCGCAATTTCAAGAAGCCGAAGTGAAAAAAAAAATCACTACTTTTAAATTTAATTAAATATTGTTTTATCTTTCTCATAAATATATTTATTTATTTGCATCCCAAGAGAATTTAGAAATACTATCGTTCATTGATAATAGATAATGCAACAAAATAATTTATTATGGCATATAAGATTTAATGTTATCATCTCCATACTTTTCTATGTACAGGTACTTGTATGAATTTTCTCAATATTAGGTTTGAAAAAAATAAATCATACATAAAAAATAATATTCCAGTTTTGAAACAGGAGCAACATTGTCGTCATTTATCTTTTCCATCATTTTTTTTAAACTAAAAACATTTTGAAACGTTTTATTATTTATTAATACACTGTATTTTTAATCAGTCTTGCTCCTCGATAGCTCTATTTTATTTCAATTTACTTAAATCATTTTGGATATTACAATACAAAATTTTATTTTAGCATTAATTTGAGAATATAATATAGCACTTAATAATTTAAGTTTGTTAATATTTTTAACAGCCATATACAAAATATAGCTTTGTGACATTTTTCCCTTCTTAATTTAACCTTTCTTTGTTTATAATTTATAAAATTCCAAACAGAAAATTCTTAGAAAATTATTTCATCATAATTATAATTTATATGATTTCTAGGAAACGAACGGAAAAATGAATAATATTCAAAAGCGAGAATAATCACGTTTTAAACGTTTAAAACTTCGTAATTTCACTAAAATATGCATTAACTTAACAGTAAATTCAATACCAATTAATCAATCAATATTAAAATTTATTAGTATTCGGAACATAGTGCTAAAAAGAATGATTAGGGGCCGTCCATTAATTATATGTACGATTTACGGGAGGAAGAGAGTCGAGGCATTGTCTACTTGGAATTTTTTTAGTGATATCAGTGACATAAATTTGTTCTTATAAGCCTACTTACTAGTCATGTGTATAAACTATCAATTAGATAATATTTGCATAACTTTTTAAAAATCATTTAAATTCCAGGGGATCCATGAACTATTGTATATGTAATTAATGGGAATTTGACAAAAGTATACTATTACACACAATGGGGAAGGAGTGGGGTCTAAAGTAGCTCAAAAACTGTACCCGCAATAAATGGATGGCCCCTTAAATCTATAAAAATATGTATTGTTAATACCAAAGTTATAAATTTAAAGGAAAAAAATCAATATTTAAAGTCT